AATTGGGTAAGTTAGTTTATCATTACATAATTGAATAAAGTTTCGCTATAGAGTGTATTTTAATACTTCAAAATTGCTAGAAAAAATATTTTAAGCAGCATTACAATAATTTAAATTGCACAAATACATCTGCAGATTTATCTCACATGCACCTTTAAATAACTACAATAAATGCGTTTTTTTTCCTATTTCAGATTCCACGGGATTCAGATATTAAAGTGGTTAAGGAACTAGTCTGCGGACGTGATTTGCGGCCAAATTCGAACTTTTTTGAAGGTTAGTTTTTTACATTTATTTCTCCAATACTTACCATATATAGCACTGGTGAACTGTAGTAGGTCTTTCAAACAAAGTATTTAATTTTGTGGTATAGCTCTCAGATTAAACTATAGGAGTGGTGTATTGCTTTTATAAATGTTGCCCTTTAGTACTTATAGACTTATTCGCCACTAATGGAAGCAGAAACCGCGTGGTGTGTCTAATGTCTGGCAGTAGGTCTCGTTTCACCAGAAAAAAGATTATTCATTAGGTGTTTCTACTAACGTGAATACCATCTGTTTTACGGTATTAAAAGGCATTTTTTTGGTCTGCAACTTTATTAAGGGATTTTGAAATAAGTTAGTATTTACAGATTCCGGGGTTTGGTGAAGACAACGCTATCTCACAAAAGTGAGTTTCTAAGTTGGGTTACTTAACTTTGATAAAAGTCATCCATCTGAAAATGTAAGGTCAAATGAAGATTCCAACAAATTAAAAAAAAACACCCTTAATCGCCTCTTAGTGTAACATGCTGCTACTGCCAGTTAGGATGTTAGAGGTAGAGGCAGCAAAAAGTTTCTGTATAACTACCTGAATGTCGAAATTCGAGTCTGTATGCACTGAAAACTTCCACTTACCAACTACGGAGTGAAATTTTTGTATTTTTTCTATAACATCATAAGAAAAAATTTTCGCCTGATACTTTTTTCATCCTTTCGGTAATTTCTCATTTTTATATTGGCCAAAATTTGGGACAAAAGGAAATGAATCTTAATTTTTCCCATTTGAATTTTAATAGAAATAGACAATAATGTAGTAATTCAAATCGAGATTTCTGCTTCAATATAACTTCAGGCTCAATCAACCAACTGTAAGAAAATAGTGCTTAATAGTGAATTAGTTGTTAAAATTTCCTCAAAGATCTGATGCCACTAAAGGGATGAATGATAAACGATAGAAACCGCTTATATCTGCAATTTTCTGCTTGCATTCAATTGAAACATCGCTTCATCGTCACAGAAATCAGTACACGCTCTATTTGTGCATAATTGTCGGTGATTTACATCTCCACCCGGCCCCTACCCCCGCCCCCCCCCCTTCGTTTTCATCGCCCGCCTCCCTCCCAAGTGACCAATGAGAACGCAGCCTGTGCGCACATTCACTCGCTTGCGTTTTTTGCATTATCCGCAAACTGGGGCCATGACGGTGCGCACCTTTGCATCAGCGCAGATAAGTCATTCGATCGGGCTATGAAACCTCTTGTTTCACATTTTTTAAGTTAATTAAATCTAGAAAATATGGCAACATTTTTTTTCGCCTTCAAAAATGGGTGACTAGATTGGCTCTTCTTTGACGAAGGTAGGGACTTCAGCCAATATGCCTTTCTCATGGGAAACTCAAATTTGGTACTAGTGTTTAAATTTATGCTCCATAAACATATAATTCGTGTGAATTGACAATTAAATTCTTCATTTCATTTCATTATTTACTGACTATTTTAAACTGTAATTGGTAAAATGCTTATTGGTCGCATTATTACTAGAATGTGAAAGTCAAATAAATTTGGATTGCAAAGAAGGCATAACTTGAATATTTAATAAGGTTGATAAGGGTTCTGGTACTAGTTGACCTCTCACCGACAGAAGAGCAGACTTTCATGGTTTGAGGTATTCGAGTTTAATGGGAGCTTAATTTTGTGACAAACACATGGTTTGTCGATTTTCGTATACGAATGTTCGTCTTCATCTATTTTTAAAAACCAGAAATACGGTTTATATTGCCTTTGACAATTCGAAAGACATAGAAGAAGTTGCATTCCACGGGAAGTGGGGCAGAAAGTGATGAAAAGTGGATCAAACAGAAGTTGTGATTTCAAAAGACTCACTTTATATCATTTCTAGCAAAAACATAATATCAGCTCTATCATGGGGCGTATAATTCACTCTAAAGTGACAAAACTTTTCCAAGATTTGATCTCAGGGTTTCTGAACTTGTCGATTAGCTTATTGAATTAACTAGTTGATCATGCCACTTTGATCCACTTTTCTTACAGCCCTGAGAACAGGCAAATAAGCCCAGCAAAGACTTCGAAAATTTGCTATGAGAACACTTTCAATAATTACTCCTTGCCATTGCATAACCATTTACATTGGGACCTTTAAACGTGTTCGCGGAATATTTGAACCCATTTCATAAATAGTATTAATTTTAGTTCTGGAAATACTATCCAGTGACCTTCAAAATTCGTAACTATTTAAATACATAGCCCGAAAGCACTAGTTATATGTGTCATTGGTAAAATTAAATTCTCAACCCCCACGTTTTTGTGCAAAAAGTTAGCTAAGTAGTCTATAGGAGGTGGTTATCTCATGAATCATTATTCAATCTACAGATTAAAATTTTAGAATTCGAACTAAGGGAACTTCAAGGGCCTATTGACTACATTTAATGATTGTGGGGTTCGGTCCTCATAGTCAATATGCTTGTAGTGGACTCATTTGTCATTCTTGAGCTTCCTTCTATTCATGCGTTCCCACACCTATCTCGCTTGGGCTCATGGGCGGTCTGGCGTTTTATGAAGATGGGGGGGGGAGGTTAAGAAGACAATGAAGTAGGCGGAGCAACTGCTTTCTCACGGACGTCAGAGTACGGATCAATAAATGTCTAAAATTGTACGATTAATATTTATGACGCGGATGTGGACTCATTAGACAGTAAGAAAGCTGGCATTGATTTCCTCTCGCTAGAACTTCTTGTACAATGAAATATTCACTTTTTAATTTTCTAAATGCCTCTTTTCTATTTTATTCTAATAGAAAATTCCTATTCGATGGAATCCGCCGACAACTCAGAGGCAGTAATGAGGAAACGCATATGCAAATTCTTTGCTGCTCTTCTGCCTGAATGTTGGAATCGGGATCCCGAAGCGAGGTTAAGTTCTCTGCGAATCAAAAAGGACTTACTGAAATTCTGCGAGGAAGTATCCGCAAATTATCAAACATTTTGTTAATTTTGAATATATTTACTACTTATATAATTAAGTAACAGCTTTGTTGTTGATGGAAGGATCGACATCTAGTACTGAAGACTGACAAGTTTCGTATTTGGTTATAACTCTATTAAATGAATTCATAGTTCGCTTTAACAATCGTATTGACTTAAATTTACGCAGTCTGAACACTTATTTAATGTATGTTTCGAATTCACTCCACTAAAATTAAAAGCCAATTTTCTGAATACATAAGACTTTTCACACTGTTCGAAGACGAGGATTTTGTGGTTAGATATATAAATCCTGAAAAATTAGGGAATAATTAGCAATTTAACGTTCAATCACGGTTTATAAATTTTTTGACAGCTGAATAGAGCGGGAAGAGAAAATATACAATGTTTCCGATCATTAAAAAATTCAGGCTATTTTCAAGACTCTCCTTAACAATTTTAATAGACTTAAATAAATTAGGAATTTTAAATTTATGAAAGAAATTAATATATTAAATATCAGAGCACATTACCGTTCTACTTAAGGACAATTCAAACGAAGACTCCTAGTTCAATAGGAAACGAAATGCTAGAAGAATATTGCTGAAATTTACAGATCATACTTTGCAAGTCAAACTTACCATTTCAAATTCGAAAAAGGTCATTCAGAAAGAAAATATATGTTTACATGACACTTTGTTTGGTGACTTATTGATTTGTGTAGTCTTTTTACTCTCTTCTCTATTTAGAAATGAGATAACTGATGTACGGCTCGTGAAGAGCATATTTGGAAGTTGTTCCGAAAACTTTCCAATGCCTTACTTCAACAGATATTAAAGGGGCAATGCAATAAAGTATACTATTGGGAGAATTGTGCATCTATATTGAGTTAAATGTTAAAAAAATGTTCCTAGGAAAAGGGGAACAAGTTACTAAATTTGATAAACTTGCTTTTTTGTTTATGCTATCCTGATTTTTAAAGACATTTTGCATGCATACATTTTGCTACCGCTAGTGTCTATGCATATAGCCAGTTGTCATTCAGTTTTTTGTGGGAATGCAAGTAACTTGAGATAATGCAATTCCTTCAGAAGAAAGGTAGTTAAAGGAAACTTGAATAGATGGATTTTGGAATTATATGACAGCAAACTTAACGTAAATAGGTATAGAGTTCAGGAATCGTAAATTTGAATCACGGACTCTATTTGTACATGAATGTGCAGAAGAAAGAAAATTTGGATATTGCATTCATGTGATAATGGATCTTCACATAACTCAATTTGACATTAATGACGCATTGACCTAATGACCTCCGTAGTTTCAAGTATTTGGGAGTATGTTAATCTGCTGAGACACAACACCGAAAGTTATTTGAGGAAAACTAAACCGAACGCCAATTTTCAAGACCCGATTTTTTGCTTCTATTTTTATACTTTCATCATACCATATTTCTCTAGCAAGTTCAACTGAACAGTTCGATGATAGTGCTTCAAGAAACCATTATTGTTCATTATGAATAGGCGACAATCAAAGTTGGATTTCGACACCAAATTAAGCCCTAATTTTTCTCACAATTAAGCCTAGAGTAGTGCTTAACATGCTTCACTGTTTGTAGGAATTCATGGAGATTGTCGATTCATTAATATCTTATAATTAGGAGAAGTTGCCAACAGGTCTTTAAGTTATTTTACCCTATTATGAGAAGCTAAGAATAATGCATCATGCATCAATCCAATTCAAATATTTGTCCACCCCTAATTCTGTAAGCCACTAAGTACTTTGCTAACGAAGAATTGGAACTTGACCATGCCAAATGTGGAATCGGAGTGTGGAACACTTTGAAGGTTAGCATATTTCTCTCTGAATCAGACATCCCTTGCCTATTTTATTCTTGTTCCGTTCTTCCATCTCTCATACATCTCATTGACTTGATGGCATTCGCATCGAGTCGTCTTTTCCTTAATTAAAACTAGTTAAGATCCTTTCCAAGCCCCTCCAATAATGTCAACCCTCATTGGTTTTCATTACATTTGCGGCTGAGGGCAACCTTCAAGAGCTTTTCGCTTATGCTGTAAGGGAAGTATGGATAAATTCGTGGAGCCGTGTCCGACAATATATTCAACCTCACTTTTCAACGTCCATTAACTGGAAAAAATAATCCAATCAAAATCCAGAACATGTGGCTAGAATATGATGCAGTTATTTCCCCATTTATTATTAAAGCAAATGACAGGCCAAAAATTTGAATTATGAGCACTTTAGCAAAACGACTTGTAAATTACTTCAATAAATAGTGAAGAGAAAAGGGAGACATCAATAGAGCCTCTCTTCATTGATATTCCTTGTTCACCAGGTTAAGCACTTCGTCATTTTGCTATATTTATTTATATCAAATGGCAGGCTTTATGATAGTTATCACTAGCCCTTTAGTTAACTTCAGGCTTCACAGAGAGAGAGGAACATCAAAGAGAAAAAAGTCGAGAGGGGGGGGGCAGAAGAGTGTTTTAAAGACGTAAAAGAGACAGACGCAAAGGTAGATGAAAGGTGAGATGAGTACCGTGAAAGGGACCAAATATGTCATACAGTGAGGTGATGGTAGTTTGAAGTCAGAAGTCAACTCCCGGTTTATAGACATTTTTGTCGTATGAGTGTACGTTGCCCAGAGTGCCCACGTGGAGGTAAGTCTATCGCACACCCTTCATTTTGCGATATAGTGGGCAAGATCAGGCCCTGGTGTTCGAGAGTTCAAAATTCCAAGTTTATGTTTGAGTCATATTCAGAACTTGTTAAGAAGTTAGTTAAATAAAACTTTTAACCAAGCCATCTCCTTAAACTGCCCATTTCAATAGTCACGTGGAGCTAGGTGCTGTTAGAAAAGGTAGTGTGGATCGTTCAAGTGGCACAGATCCACAGGTAACAGCTTATAACTCTAGCAAACCTTTGATTCTTTTCACAACTTTCTTCAGAATTTCAAAATGGGAAAAATTTTAGATGTGACCGATGAAAAGCAAAGTACAACCTTCTGCATACCAAATGTCACAATTTACTTTGAATGCAAAGATGGTTACTGAAGTGGTTTTGATGAGTCATTCCTTTGCCTATTTTAGTAGGTAAGCTGAAACACTTGCCATGGAATGTTAGCATGTTCTTCGCTTTCTTTCCGACTTAATATTATTGTGAATAAATAGTTCAGATTGGAGCAAGATTCCGAAAGAACTCCGCAAGAGGAGACTGCCAAAAGTTTGACAAGACAGTTCCATTGCTGCACTTTTTTGCAAAATTTCAGCTATCTCATTGCCATTGGCCGAAATTTCATTTATCGATTGGATAGGTGATGAAATGGAAACCAATTATGTGAAGTCATAATTAAAAGAACCTTGATGAGGATAAGAGACGAATACTTGAACAATTTGTTCTTGAAGCTGTAATTAGTGTCGCTTGATTCAAAAATGATATATCCCCTTTTGTTATTTGGTTATGGTAATTATTTTGCTAGATTTCTTTTTATTTGAAATTTGTTAAAACGTCTATAAATAGGGGAATAAATAAAAATATATGTTTTGATTCTAAATTATTTTAGCACAACATAACACATTAAAAAACCAAAGCAAAACTTTTGTTTGTTTTTGAGGAATTTTTAACGACACAATGATTCTTGGTAGAGAAATCAATATCTCAATCTAAATTGGACAGATCCATCTCCTTCTTCATAACTAGCCTGCTTGTCGCCTACAATCGACTTGTGCATGAAAATCCCCCCAAGTATTTACGTCTATCAACAGTCCACACTAGCATATTAAAACCGTAGCGAGATTGAACGAGCCCCTTTGGCCCTGTGAATGGTCGATTTTGACACCTCCAACTGTTCGTTAATCCTTTCAGCTTATGTAAATGGCAACCAAATTTGATTAAGAGAGAAAAAGGTATTTTATACAACGATCAAAGGAAATTACATAGAAGACCAATCCAATACAGTTAAGAAAAAAATGCAAGCGCTGAAATATTTATTTATATCAAATGGCAGACTTTATGATAATTATCATTAGCACTCTAGTTGACTTTAGGCTTGAAAGAGGAAAGGAACATCAAAGTGGGAAAAATTCGAGAGGGGGGAACAGAAAAGTAAATCACATATGTAAAAGAGACAGGCACACACAAAAAGGTAGAGAAAAAGGTAAGGTGAGTGTACTGGGAAAGTGGTCGAATATGACATACAATGGGGTCATGGTAGTTTGAAGTCAGAATTCGACTGCCTGTTTATAGACTTTTTGTCGTATGAGTATACGTTGTCCAGTGTGCGGTACATGGAGGTAAGTCCTCTAGACTAAATATTATAAAAAACAGAGGCTAAGAGTATTGGGATGCTTATGCAACTGGGAAATGTCTAACAAAGATTCTTTTAAGCACACTTACTCTAGCCATTGATCCAAATCCATAGAACGTTGCACGTTGATATAGCACGTCTTGCTTTAATAAAACATGATCTCTTAAGTAAGCAAACCCAGTGGGAGAATCCGGAATTGAGAAAAAGTACGACGAGGATTAGAAATTTAAAATATTTGCATGAATAATAACGATAGTAATAATTTTGTTTTACTATATTTGACTTCATTTTTCCTTCCGTCAACTTTAAGCACAATTTTGTTTACAGTACCATTCCATTTCACTACTGTAACATGCGTGATTTTCTACCCTTTTTATATATCCAAAATATAATTTTTTATAAATATTCCTCTTTCCCAAGCTGGGCTTTCCGAATTTAATCTTTTTTAAAAACTATTTGTCAATTGTTATTTTAATAAATTATGCTGAAAAACAAATTCAAATATGCTACTAAATGAATGCAATAGTAACAGAAGTGATTCAATTCATGATAAGATGCTTATTACTCTCAACATATTCCAATGCTGTTTCACCTTTTACCACCAGAAATATTTGCTATGATTACTTGAAATAGTTTTTTAAAAATTTTTTAATAGTACTTAAAGATCTAATCCCAATATCAGGAAGTTATTTATATGCTATGAT